CTATTCTTTTTATCTCGGTTTTTTTCTCAAACCTTGTTATATTTTATATTTAAAAATTAAAAGTTCGTAAAAATTTTTAGGTCAGAAAATGAATTTTTGTTTCTATCAGTAGAAACGTATTTTTATTTGAATTAAAAAACAAAAGAAAAAATAGATATTGTAGCAAAAAAAAGAAAAACGTATTTTTGCAGAAACAAAGTTAAAATTTCGTTATCGATAGCAATTAATACGTGCATATATGCATAAGTGATCCCTTGCATGCTCTAGTTTAATTTTGCTTGCATTTTAGCGGTACAGAGGTTACAAAAGATTTTCCAGAGGACTTACTCGAAGGCAAAATTTCCTCAGATTACCTCAAGATCGAAAGGTATATCTCCTTCAATGTTTCCTATTCAACAAAATAATATAATTAATGTAATAAAAATGTTTTTCTTTATCCATCAGATGTTAAGATAATGGAGAAATGCGTAGACGAAACCGACATTCTAATTGTCGGTGGCGGTCTAGCGGGATTATCGGCAGCTATTCAGGCCCGTAGACTGGCTGAGAAACATGGTAAGGAACTCAGGGTTACTCTTGTTGAAAGGTGGAAGAATATCAATTACTTTGACCAATACAAATAATAATGCTTGTCTGAATCCGATTGCCTTGAACGAGCTCTTTCCAAATTGGAAAGAATTAGGTGCGCCATTAAATACTCTTGTTAAGGAGGATAAATTTGTATTTCTCACGGAAGAGAGGAAGATATCTATACCTATTTTCAAGGGAATGCCAATGTCTAACCATGGACATTACATAGCAATGTAAGTCGAAATTTAATGCGATCATAAATTTGTTAATAAAGGCTATATAGTATTTGTTTCAGTTGTAAAAATTTGTATGTCTGTATAGATTAAGCGACGTAGTGATGTGGCTTAGCAAGCAAGCAGAAGCCACTGGTGTCGAGATATGTTGTGATCACATAGCGAGCAAAGTTTTATTTCACGAGGATGGATCTGTTAAAGGAATGCAGACCAAATATGTGCCTATGTATGAAGTTGATCTTTCCTCATCCGAAAATATCCTCATACCTACTTATAGGGAGTTTCATGCGAGATGTACCATATTTGCGGAAGGCTCTCAGAGCTGTCTGACAAAAGACTTATCAAAGAAATTTAATCTTAGTAAAGATTGTAAGCCACAGACGTATTGCTTTGGATTGAAAGAGGTAATTATATTGTTATATTTAAAAAAAAATTAAAATTATACAAAAATGTTTTACATTTTAAAGTAATATATATCTTTTGTAAGGTTTGGGAGATAGAGCCAAGCAAGCATCGACCTGGAGCAGTGGAACATACAGTTGGTTGGCCACTTAGAAGAGGTACATATGGTGAATCGTTTTTTTACCATTTGAATGAAGAAACACCTCGGATAGCAACAGGTTTTTTTATGGAGTGGAATTCTTTTAATAGTCTGGATGAAGAGTTTGAGAGGTTCAAACAGCATCCTAGTATTAGACCAATATTTGAAGGAGGGAAAAGGTTGGTGTCTTTATACATATGTATAATACGAGATTTTAATTGCATTATTTTGTACTTTCTATTTTTGTTTCTCGTAATTTCAGGATTTTAGATTATGAAATCAATATTGAACGTTTGCCACAAGGTGGATTTCAATCTATTCCAAAACTTCAATTCCCTGGTGGTTGTCTTACTGGAAGTAGGGCAAGTTTTGTAACCGTGCCCCAATTTAAAGGAATTCACCATGCCATGAAAAGTGGCATGTTGGCTGCAGAAAGCATTATTGAGGCGATTATAGATGCAGAAAGTAATACCTCACCGACCAAAGGCTTAGAGCCGAAAACGTATACAGATAAAATAAAAAATAGTTGGATCTATAAGGAATTGAAAGCTGTAAGAAATATGAAGCCCAGCTTTAATTCTTTCTTCGGTTTTAACAGCGGTTTAATTTTCTTTGGGATCTCTATGCTATTAGACGGAAGGGAGCCGTGGACTTTGTCTCACAGTAACAACGGAGATTCTGACTTCTACAAGTAAGAGGTGAGGAGACTCAACTCCGCTAAGAAAAGTGTGCCAGTTTCACCCGCCAAATTGAGAGGGAATCCGCTGACCGGAATAACTTTAGTTGGATGGACGCCATTTGCAATATTAGTCTTATCTCACTTTACCTATTGTTTGTCGAGTTTATACGCTTTATACGAATTTTTGTCTGGTGTCTCCCGGTGTTTAATTGTATCTTCGTGCGTGTGAATATACAATGAGATTGCAGTGATGTCATGTGGGATGCGTTGATGCACTGCGAAAGGAAACAAAATACAAACGACATTACATATATTGACAGTACGTATCTTTACAATTAAAAGAAATACTGCTGTACTTACTGTGCGAGGTTTAAAAAAGCTACTTCTTTTCCGAAGCATCTTTTTTTCTTCCTTTCTCCCACCTACGAATCCAACATGCATCTCTGGAATCTCGTTGTATGTATTCATGCACACGAAGATATAAAACGAGAGACACCAGCAATAGATAAAGTGAGATAAGACTAATACTGTAAATGGCGTCCATTCAACTAAAGTAAGGCACTATAAGATGTAAGATCTGTAGTGCCTTAACTAAAGATATTCTGGTCAGTGGATTCCCTCTCAATTCGACGCATAAACCGGTCCTACTTTTTCAGTTCGTGCTATCAAGTTGAGTCTCCTTTAGAGATCCTCTAAGTAGAGATCACACAACGTCTGACTTCCGTTTTCACACAAGGGATTACTCCCTACTCCCGGATTCTGAAGAGGCTCTGCCATGTTGTTGTGAAAACGGAAGTCAGACGTTGTCCGATCTCTACCTATATAGGATCTCTAGTCTCCTCTACTTTTACTTTGTGATAA